GCCTGCTTATGTTCTTTGATGGCATGGAAATGTTCTGCATAACGGTTGTTCTGCACAACAACACGGATGAAACAACAAGCAGCAGTACGCACCGAACATCGGAGCATGCATTTGTTAAATTGAAATGCATTCTTCCATTATTTCACATATTGATCTTTTGCAGAAAAAGGGAAACAAATTATCCCTTGAATTCAGAGTTTTACTTATAATAGGAATCATTCATCCACCACTTCTCACCCTCTGGGTTTGTGTTACACCACAGTAGCAGCTTGCGCTGATGAATTAATACCTGATTCTCCCCACTTTCACTCCCAGCACTTATCAATTATCATGAGCCAATATTTTCCGCCACAATACCATTTGTTATGCCAATAAATCTAAAGTGAAGTATTTCCACTCAGCRTGAAACAGGAAACAAAGGCAGGGTTGGGGGGAATCTGAACGTAGCTCTAGCAGGAGCATCACAATGAGATTTCACAATGAAAATGAAATTTGAAAAAAGATGCAAGCTGAGAGGAACAATAATTGAAAAACAGGGAAGAAGCATGAAAACAGCTTGACTACCACGAACAGTTTATCCGACGGGAGGTTTAAAGCTCAGGAACTGAGCAAGTCAAATCTGACAAGTCAAATCCTTGGGTTACGGAAACAAGCAATTAAATTTGTCAAAAGTTAGTTATAATTTCTTTTATAGCCACTCAGCTGCTCTGGAGACGTGTTTGAAAGTCCACATGAGACGGTGCCAAGGCTCAGGGTTGGGGGGGGACGGGGGGGGTACAGGAAATGGACTGAGAAAGAAACAATAGATTTTCTGATGATAAATCCCAGGGCTTAAGAGCTTCAACAGATTAATTGATAGTGAAATAATGAGAGCTTTTAACCAGCCTGTCTCACAGGAAAACTCATTCAGCCTGGCTTTTCTCATCTTTGTTTCTTACCTTTGTATAATTCATGCACTCTGTCACCATGTGAGCTTTGCAATTATCTGCTGAATGACGCTACTTTGCAGCAGAGGGCTACACTGAAGCATCTTTTCACAGGAAAGATAAAACATCTAATTGGTCATCTAAATTTTCTTGATTTAGTCAGACGATGGTTGCATCAGAAAATGGCTGAAGGATRAAATAATAAATTAATAAAAGTGGCACAGGAGGAAGTCTTTGTATATTTTTATAAGATAAGATAAGAGATAAGGTAGGATATATCTTTTTTATAACAAATATATGTTGTTTAATGTTAGCAGGATGCTCTCATTTTTAYGTTTTTAAATGTTGTTACTCCTGGTTAGACAATCATCCAGCCATTATCTTTACGGGGGTCACATGTGCTCATGTCCAACAGTGACTCTGTGAGTGACAGGATATACCCTGGACAGGTTGCAAGTTCATCACAGTGCCAGAAAGAGACAAACCATTCACACTCACACCAAGAGACAATTTAGAATTACCAATTGGCCTAGCATGGCATGCAGGTTTTTGATCTGAAGCAGGGGCAGAGCTCGACTTTTTGGCAAAGGGGTGGCCACAGTATTTGTTTATGAGACATATATAAATAAAGATAAGCTTTCTGGGTTTGAAAATTCAACATGGTCACCACAGCTAATCCTRAATAGCTTAAATTTAGCTGTTTTAGGAACAACTGAGCTGAAATTTTGTATGATTGTAGCAAAGAATGATTTATAAAACATGCTAAATGCTAGTCACAACCTATTTTTAGACACTTTTTAGTCATACAAAGCTGAAGATTAGTATAGAAGTAGCCAAAAACCATCTTTACCCCATTCTAAATGCTAATCAAAAATGCAAGATGGCCACCACTGCTAACTTTAAAAGCATATATTTAAGTCATTTTAAGACTTAATAATAAAGTCATGTATTAAGTCATTTAGTCATTTTAAGATAATACATACAATAATACATTTACTGTGGAGTACCTAAAATTGATCACATGCCAATTGTTGATTATTCACACATTAAGCTAACCTCTAATGCTAATGCCAATTAGACAAAGGACTATAATTCAGTCATTTTAAACAAAGAGCTAAAAGTGATATATAGAACAGAAGTATCAATTCAATTCAGTTTATTTATATAGAACCAAGACACACCATTCGTTGTCCCAGGGTACTGTACATGAAAAAAAGGAACAATCTAAAGAAGAAGCCAGCAGAATCAGAGAATAATAATTTCACAAAATCTAAATATAAATACAAAATCTAAGCTCCCATTTGTGGGCCACCCCTGTGGTTTTGCCCCTGGTGGGAAGAGAAATACCTGGAGAAAACCCATAAATGTTGAAAAAAAAAAGCTAATTCTACCAAAATAGGACAGCTGTTCAATATGACAACCTTCTAATTGACAAATATATTTATGTAACATGACAGAATTACTTACATACACAGTGCAGGCCTGTTATTTGCTTATCTGTAATCTAACTTTAGCATTTATAAAAGCAGCATTTTCTAAAAGGTGTTGAAGATAAAGAGCAGACAAGCCCATTTAGAGTATTTGTCATCATTTTGGTGTTTAGTCGTCAGTCAGACATTATAAATGTCAYGGTGCTTTAAACACAAATGATCACCAGTAATTACACTTCATCTTTAAGAAGACATGATTTTATTTAATATCAGTCCTCCAGAGAGTTTTWAAGACATTTAAGAAATTCAATTAGAGCTGCTAATGCCAGCTGGATGTACGGACAAGGACATGACAAATTATAAAGATTCATCTCCCGGGAACCATGTCTGCAAATAATGATATTTAATGTCAGGATATTTCATTCTGATCCTAAATAGTAGAGCAGCTTACTGACAATGAAGTCTCATGTCTCCTTTGTGGGGTAAAATGATTGTTGAAGTGGAAATKACTTCTTTAAATGATCCAGAATCAAAGGGGACACAATAAGGAAAGAAAATGTGCAGCACAGTTTGATATTTTATTAACCTATACAAATAAAAATGTAAAGAAAATGATTTTTAATCACTAATCTAAGTCTAAATGAACTGGACAGAGTTGGAGCCAAGAGTTCTGTGCAACAGCAAACACTGTAACATGAAGATTCTACTTGTTTTAAGTAAATAAAAAGGATTCGTTTTTGTTGCATTGATTTATTTATTTAAAAAATGTATATGTCTGTTTTTCACCACATGGTATCTTTGAGGCGGTGGAATTATGTTAATTATAAATAAGGTTGCATAAATGTATTTCATATTTATACATAATTATAATAATGTGACTGATGACAGATGTTTCTGAGCATTTGATGAATGTGTTATTTGTTTGCATTTAAGATTCCTAATGTAYGACTGCTTTGTGACTGTCACGGTGGCTGAATTTACAGCTCAGAGCAAAAAATCTGTTCTTAAGCTATGATTGTTTTTCCATCATTTAAAATACCAGTCTGACATTTTTAGAAACAAAAAAA